TCGACAGCAGGAAATGAGCCAGCGCAACTGCACGGGTTTTCAGACGCTTCGGAGAAAGCATATGCGGCAGTGGTGTATGTAAAGAGCAATGGGACGGTACGTTTACTGACATCGAAAACGAAAGTGAATCCGCTGAAAAATAGAAAGACGTTGCCGAAGTTAGAATTATGTGCGGCGCATTTGCTGTCAAAGCTGTTAAAACGAGTGATAAGTGCCATGAGATGTAACTATACGATATTCGCATGGAGCGACTCGACAATAGCTTTGAGTTGGATAAATAACAGCAATAATTCCAACAGGTTCATTCGAAACAAAGTGAATGAGATCAGCGAGTTGCTGACCGACTAAGGAAAAACCAGCTGATCTTGGATCTAGAGGAGTGTTGTCGATAGAAGAAGACGGTATTTGGTGGAGTGGGCCTAAATGGCTTCAGAAGACAGCAGAAGAATGGCCTTTAGCGCCCCAACAAAAGCAACAAGTATTGGTAAATACGAGGAACATCAATAAGGCTCATTTTGTGGACGCCATAACGGAGAAATGTTCGAGTTTTTCTAAGCTACGGAGAATTGTTGCGTATATTCTGCGATTTGTGGAAATAATGAAAGGCAAGAAACCAGATGAGCTAACACTAACAGTAGCAGATTGGGAAAAGGCGGAGAAAGTTATAATTCTACGTCACCAAGAATTAATGTTTCCCATGGAGCAAAGAGCACTGAAAGACAAGGAGTTAGTGGGCAGGAAGAGCAGCATAGCAAGTCTTCACCCGTTTCTAGATAAAAACGGTATTATAAGAGTGGGAGGGCGCCTGCAGAATGCTAGTATGCAATTTAACCAGCGACATCCAATAATTCTGCATGGATCGCACCTGGCGGAGATAATAGTTAGCGGATACCATATAGCTACCCTTCATGGAGGTAACAGGTTAACGGAGGTCGCGATTAAGCGGAAATACTGGATAGTTGGAGTGCGACGTATTATTAAAAAGAAGATTCGTCATTGTACTAGATGCATTCGGTATAAGCAAGAGGCATCGAAGCAGTTGATGGGAAATCTGCCAGAACCCAGGGTAATGATAAGTCACCCATTCTTACACACTGGCGTGGATTATGCTTGACCTATAACAATGAAATGTTCCAGAGGCAGAGGGCAGAAATGTTTCAAAGGATATATCGCCGTATTTGTATGTATGGCAACTAAAGCGATTCATTTGGAAGCCGTGAGTGACCTGACGACCGAGGCGTTTATAGCAGCCTTAAAAAGGTTTTTTGCTCGGAGAGGGAAGTGTGCAGTGATCTACAGTGATAACGGAACTAACTTCGTAGGTGCTAGCCGCAAATTGGATAAAGATTTCAAATCCGCGGTGAAAAACAACAGTTCAGCAATGAGTTTTTTAACGGAGGAAAAAACTCAATGGAAATTTATTCCGCCTGGAGCACCTCATCAAGGAGGAATATGGGAAGCAGGAGTGAAATCGGTAAAATTTCATCTGAATCGGATAGTTGGCGAGACGAAATTTACCTTTGAAGAAATGAGTACGCTGTTATGTCAAATAGAAGCGATGCTGAACTCAAGACCGTTGACGTATGCGGAAAGTGAGGATAGTGAGTCGCTCGATATTTTGTCGCCAGCCCATTTTTTAATTGGCAGATCATTTGTGGACGCACCGGAACACACAGAAGAGGTGATTGGGTCCCTTAATCGCTGGAAGCTGATTCAGAAGATGAAGAAAGATTTCTGGAATAGGTGGAAAGAGGAATATTTAACCACGTTACAACACAGGAGAAAGTGGTTCCAGCCTCAAGAAAATTTGCAGAAGGGAGATGTAGTGCTAATCAAAGAGGAGACATCACACCCTGCGAAATGGCCACTTGGTCGGGTTGAAGAAACCTTTCCAGGTAAAGACGGTAAGGTGCGAGTGGTATCCGTGAAGCTGCAAAATGGATGCCTGAAGCGGCCAGTGCAAAAGATTTGCCCGTTGGTTAAAGCGAAAGATGAATGTGCATACCAAAGTTGTACGAAGAAGGAGAAGAAGATAACAGCGGTTGGCGTGTTGCTGTCAATGCTGCTGATGGCGTCAGTAAGAGGGAATATGGCGACACAAATTGGAGGCAATGTTACACCACTGAACAACTCTGCAGCAATATATATGGATTATACCGGCTCTGTGGATGTAATAGCATCATCATGGAATGTGATAGTGCATTTCAACATGAAGCCGTATTTTGATTTAATTCAGCAAGCTGATCGACTGTTGAAAGAAATGAGAATTTCATTTCCGAAATTAATGGAGTTTGAGGCCCAATGTCATCACGTGTTAGACACAATAGAAAGGCAGCTGGAGAACATGGGTAAAACAAATCAGTATTTGTTTCCCGGAGAAGGTCACCGAGTGAAGAGAGCGCCTCTTGAGTTTATTGGATCGCTGCAAAACGTATTGTTCGGGACGATGGATGCAGATGACAGAAGGCAAATGGAGGAAAATATGAGAAATCTGCTAAATAACCAACATGATTTAAAGAGCTTGATTCAAAAGCAGACATCCGTGGTTGAGTCCACCACAAATGTGTTGAAGAGAACCGCAGAAGAAGTGAATATTAACTTTGAGAGGATGACTGAGCGGATAAATAATATTACAGAAGCGGTGAAGGAATCGTATTTTATCTACAAGGAATCCATAAAATTCTTCATGGTTACGAAAGACCTTCAGTTGATGGTAGAAGAAAATGAAAAAATACAATCGGAGATAATTGGATTATTAATTGACATTAATCATGGGAAGTTGAACCCGGCTCTACTCACTCCATCACAGTTGCAGGATGCTGTAAATCACATCAGACAACACATACCAGACCACGTGAAGCTGCCGGGGAAGAAGTTTGATCAATTGCGAACAATTTACAAACTGTTGACTGCGCGAGCTACAACCTTGAAATATGATTTGGTGATTGCGGTATCAATCCCGCTATTAAGTGATCAGGTTTCCCAGCTATATCGAGTTATACCGATTCCTTTTGAATTTGAGGGAGCGAAGATGGTAGCCACAACGAGAAATAAGTTCCTGATATACAACTTCAATGTAGATGCATACCACATGATGTCACAGGCAGAGTTGAATCAATGTCAAGTGTTAGCCGAGAGCGAGTATGTGTGTCAAGGCGGATGGCCGTGGGTAGATGCAAATGATAATTCCTGTGAAGTATCTTCTATCAAACCGCTTAACCACCACAGATGTCAATTTACAACAACGCAGGTAGAATTTCTTTGGAGCAAATTGCACACGCCGAATTGCTGGCTATTTAGCTCATTCGACGAGTTGTCAGCACATCTTCAGTGTAATTCTGGAGCTCAGATGATAATGAAGTTGCCTCCGCAAGGGATTGTGGAATTGCAGCCTGGATGTACTCTTCGAATCAAAGGTGTGTCGATTTCTGCCCCAGTACACTTAAAATCCGAGCGAATCGTGGATAATAAGATGGTTTTAGCCACCAACGTGTCGGAGATAACCGAGTTTAACTTGAGTCCACTGAACGCCATGAGGATTAACCACTCAGAGACGATGGAGAAGCTGGAAAGGGCGATTGCTGACTTGAAGAAGGAAAATCTGGATTTGAGAGGGCTGAATTTTCATCAGAAGAGCGGGACGGCGTCACTTATTTTAATAACAATATTAGTTTTAGTAATATTAGTATGGTATTGCAGGATGAAATATAATGTAAAGAAACAATTAGTTAGGATCAAATTTGATGTACCTAAGCCAGACGAGGCAGACAGTAAAGTATAATAAAAATAATGAATAGCGGGGTAGTAATTTTGCCGCCGCGGAAGATGTTCACGGATAAGTGAACAGTTGTAGTTGCATAGAGGAGATAAAATACAAAACATAATTTTGTGAATGTACAGTCCACAAAAATAACATGCACATTTAAAGAAGAGGCCTCCGTCGTGGAGGTCACTAAAAGATAACAATTGTCACATGGGGGAATGTTTGAGTTAGATTACGGACGGGAATCTAAACTACAGACTGATAAGCATGTGTAGCGTGTTGCATGCAACGTGGGAGATAACTCGGTGTGAGTGTGTGACCTCCCCATAAGATTATGGCAGGCATGGTACATACGCATGGGCACACATCTTATCTCATATTATGTTTCTCTCTCTTATGTACTAGAATATTAGGTTAAGATTTATTTGTGTTCGTAGTTCTTAAGAAAAAATATTAAATAAAGAAAATTAGTGTAGCACAAACAACCAACCGAACAACTCATTCTCATTCTCTCCGCGAAACAATATCAAATAATAAATAAAGCTCGCCCAAAAACGTAATTTTCCTTATCAAAATTGGGTTGGTAAAAATTAATGAATTTTAATTTTTTGCTAATAGTTACCTCAGTCTCACAAAGCAATACAAATCTGCTGACGCAAATATTAGAGACGTGGGTTCTACTTTATTCTAATTTTCGATAAACCATCAACGTTGTTACGGAATACCAAATTGGTATCGACGTCGTGTTAAAGTGATGTTGTCTTAAAATTTACGACGATGTTCCCTACTCCAAAGAGAATCAACTATATTACTTCTGGTCCACATAAGAGGACTTTAGGTGTAGCATGTAAAGTTGTTTTTTTTATTGTAAAAGTATATAGGTGAACGGCGTCCTAAATAATGTTTGAGCTTTATTTTCCTTTATAAATTAATATTTTATGCCTGGATCCTCGTATATGTTTCTCCCTTTAATTTTAACCTGGCAGAGACTCAGCTATTAATAAAACCACTCACTTAATTTGTGATATTTTGACGTGTTGGTGTGCGCATACAAAATTACTGCAATTGCCAATGTATCGAAATAATCACAGCTTTTATAGAGTTTACTTAAGCAATATAATTATAAGCATTTACATTATTTAATTATATATGTTTAACAGAAGCGAAACAATCAGCATTTTTTAAATATATATTTGTGTGCAGAGTATGTAACTAATTAGAATTGCACTTAATGTGCACAATAAATTAATCTATTGCCAATGAACATTTTTCGTCATCTGTATGTCCAATGCACTCAATTGCTGGTCTATGTTCTGAATCCCACATTCCTGGGCCACAGCGTTTGCATAATCCTGCGAGTGTACAGGGAATTTTAGGTAACTGCCGATATTGGTGTAGCATTCCCCGAGCTTTCCGCAATATCAATTGACCGTCCATATACATTGCCAGAGAGCTGAAGTGTAGTAGCATTTCGTCAGATCTTAGATTTTGTGCAATGACATCATCCGCATATACAGCTATAATAGCTAAACAGAGGAAAAGGTGGAAATAATCCGTTAAATAGTTTGACCAACATGCTTCCCACATGCGGATAACCACGGCTTCAGTAAATTCCCTTTTAAAGCACAATAGAAGCCAACGGTGGCAAAATAGTAATTCCATTGCATCGCTGTGTAATTGTAAGTGATTGTAAAATCGTGGCAACATAATCCGAATTAGCTCACGCAGGAATTTTAAATTACGATCAATGTCATTATCTGTAGGTGTGCACACGAAATGAGCTCTTTGCATCAAACCCACAAAGCACCAAAAAGCTTCCGATTCGTTTTGTATTTCACATAGCAATGGCGCCAATAGATCACTCATTCCTTGAAAGTATGATATACCGGTATTGTAGAAAGCATAATTTAATAGTATGTTCTTCATTATTTCTGTGTTAGGGTTATTGTCACCACAAAAGAACGGATTTAAGCGGTCTGTGCGCACTATATCCTTCTCCACCACACATTGAACTGATTTCCAAAAATGAATTTGTTCTTCTGGTGACATAGAATATGTGCGCCGTCTCGTGAGATCTTCATACTCTTGTCTTCTAATATCCATTAAGACAGCACGATCTTCAAAAGTTGATGAAAGAGAATAGCACTTCAACAGAAAAGGCCAGACCGTTTTTCGCAAACTTTTCTCAAGGCCTCCGAAGAAAACACATTTCTTTAGCAATAAATCGTCGTCTATTTGTCCTTTTTCGTTAAGTAGTGTTCCATAAAAAAAATTTGTTGTAATTTTTTGAACAGCACCTTCATCTGGATGCATTTCTGACTTCTTCACTTCTGGGCGACATACCATAAATTGGCGGTATGGCAATTGTTGCTTATCACTTCCTGTTGTATTTGTAATATTGTGAAGAAAACAATGCCACTGATGCAATACCTAAAAAGAGAAACATAAAAAATGTTTTTTAATAAGACACGAAAAAGTGTAGGAGACGTTTTGTCTGGACGGAATTTGGAAAGAACATCATAGGGGCTATGCCCAGTTTTTTTTCTGAAAACGCGACACTTCAGCTGGCGTATAACACAATCAGCATTATTCACACAAACGACGTCTCTTGTTATAAATTGTATTCCCGTTGTCGACTTTTGTATCGATAAATATTGACACATTTTTGGTATTATGTAACAAAGATTGACGACGACGATGATTTAATCGACATTATTTTTTTGACGGCTGTAAAGAACCTGTTCTTTACGTCATTCAAGACTCTATCAATACGCTATGCCAAATTCGATGGAACATAGGATCTGGGTGCACAGTTTACATAAAATCGAAATGACCAGCCAGCCATAAGGCTGAGGATATAACAATGAAAATAATTCCGGTATTATTGAGAATATAAAGAGTTTGAAGGAAACGATAGATAATTATGTGCACAGATACGAATCACAGCAAAAAACGAAGGAAGGAAAAAGCGGTCGGAAATTAAAAAAATATAACGATAATCATAGTTTTGAAGTGTTATATAAGAGAATAAACCGTTCTGATATTCTTATTGAGTTTGTCTGTAATTTATTATTCGAGTTGCCCGTTTATGTAATTATTTTCCTATCGAACTAAAAACATTTACACAACCCAAAAATGCATTTCGCTTAAAGTTATTAAATTTTGGTTTTAATTTATTCATACTTCTTTGATTTTTTATATACACAGTGGAATTTTTTGTACTTATTTTTTTGTATGTATGTATGCTTTTTTATGACTCTGTATATGTTTTATATCGAAGCGAATTATCACAAAAATTCCTTTATTTATCACATAATTTGTCAAATTCAAAACAGATGTGAAAATGATTTGCATTCGTTTACTACAAATTTTGAAATAATTTCTTCAAAATTTTATTGGCTAGATGCGAATTGATTATTTCCCCTAACAAAATTGAATAACTGAACTTTTTGTTTTGAGTTCTTAAAAATAGTTGAAGCAAAACCAGTGAGCGGAGCAATATTGTCGGACAGGTGCGGCCATATGACACATTAAACCATGGACGTACGAAAATTTTTTAAATAAGTATAGTTTTGCAACAGAAAAATTTAAATTCCACTTGCATTATCTAAATTTCTACATGCACAATAGGAATGTAACAAAATTTTAGACGAAATCATAATAAAATTGGTGGAGACATTTTTGTTTTGAGTTCTTGAAAATAGTTAAAGTAATACCAGTGTGCGGAGCAATATAGTCGAACGGGGGCGACCATATGATACATTAAACCATGGACGTATGTAATTTTTTTGAAATATGTATAGTTTTGCAACAGAAAAACTTAAGTTCCACTAGCATTATCTAAATGTCTACATACACAATAGGAATGTAACACAATTTTAGACGAAATCATAATAAAATTGGTGGAGAATATGCACAACCCCATTAAAAGTGTAAAGAAGAGCACATATTGTGGACAAAACATGACAAATTGCTTAATATTTTGATTTTTTTGTATGTGCATTTTAATTATATCCGGCCCGGCCCCAGGGTATCTTGTATCGCATATTCAGATTTAGCAAAACGTTATTTTGTAAAGTCGGCATCTTATTTTCAAATAATGGTCCAACATTACCTCTGTCGCACCGTCTTAGGAATTGGAAAGATGCTCTTGAATCCTTTATCGACAACGAAAAAAAGGAATACCACAAAGATGCGATGAAGAGGACTCAGGACTTTATATCGAGAATAAAATATGTTTCAAAACGTATAGAATATGTTACGGACAAACAAGCTTCATATATATTGAAAGAACAAACGTATAACGTTAAAGTGGCCATTGAGACAATTTTATTGTGTGAAAGGGAAGACATCGCCTTGAGTGGAAGTAAAGCCTCCTGAATACAGTTTGGATTTGGATTCAACATTTTTGAAAGATCAAGAATATGACGGCGCGTCTCACATGTCGGCAATTATAATAGAGTGCATCTGCGGTATACATTCATTATTCTTTTCACATTTTAAAATAAAATATATTGTTAAAAATTTTAATAGTAGTACCGGCAACCATAGATGCTGTGGTTGCCGGTTGATGCCCCACGTCGAGTAAAAAAAATAAAAAGGTCCATTTGACCCGTTCAACATTAACCGATAATTCATTCTAATTAATTGGTCATATTCCCTTCCCCATGGAAAATTGGCGATGTTCGGTTTACAATTGTGGCGTCTTGAAAATCAGACAAAAATAAATTTTTCGGTCTATTTCATTCCCTAAATATCATGTGTTCATCATGCATCGTCTTGAGCATAACTGGAACCTGCAGGAATATTTCCTAGCATTCAGCGCTAAATTTCCGTCCTCTAATGATAGTACTAAACAATATCAGCATACGTAGACCCCTGTAAATATAAATGTAAATTCTTTGGCCAGATCCCCTTCACCATGCAAAATTTCGTGATGATCGGGTCATAATTGCGAACTCTGTAGCGGCCAGAAAAAGGGAAAAAATTAAGTATTTGGTCCATTTCATTCCTTAAATATTAATGGATCATGGATCCGAAAAAGGTTGCTTTCTGGTCAAAACCGATTCATGAAGATTGGTCCATAACTGTAGCCTGTATCTTGTTTATAAAATATAATGGACTGACGGACGGACATGTCTGAATCGACTCAGTCGATATGATATGACTATCGGTATACTAAAAGGTTTGTTTTTGTATTGTATTTGTATTTTATTTGCATAAAGGCAAAATGAAACAAGTGAAACCAGTAAGAAATGTAGTAAAGTCGGATGGGGCTTACTATATGATACCCTTCACCACTTTGGGTATATTCAACAGATGGAATCCTAACAGACGTCGCATTTTTGAAGGACCATTAACATGAAATTAAACATGTCGTTCTGCAACCTATACCAAATTTTGGTTAGATATACAGTTGCTTCTTACAATGGGACAAAATTATTTTAATAAATTTAAAGCAAAATATCGAAATCTAAACCGATTTCATCGAAACTTGTCACATGTTAGGTTACACATATTTTAGTATGTTTTGTGCATTGATCCACATTTTGAGTTCTTCATTTACTTATAAATCCAAATTTCGTGCAAATGGAAGGATATGTAGGGACTTTGGTTCACCATTTACCTAAAATCGGACGAAAATATATATGGGAGCTATATCTAAATCTGAACCGATTATTATAAAATTTAACACACATCTTTCGAGACTTAATTCAGTACGCTATGCCAAATTTCGTGCAAATCGAAGGAATATGGGAGCTATATCTAAATCTGAACCGATTTTCCCAATTTCAATAGGGTTCGTCCTTGGGCCAAATAAATGAGCTGTACCAAATTACATCCAATTCGAATCAAAAATGTACTGAATTAAGTCTAGAAATGTGTGTGATAAGTTTCGTAAAAATCGGTTCAGATTTAGATATAGCTCTCATATATATAGTTTCGACCGATTTTACGCAAATAGTGCAATAGGGACCAGATGGAATCCTAACAGACGTCGCATTTTTGAGGGACCATTAACATGAAATTAAACATGTCATTCTGCAACCTAACTAAATTTTGGTCAGATATAGAGTTGCTTCTTACAAAGGGACAAAATTATGTAATTAAATTTAAAGCAAAATATCGAAATCTAAACCGATTTCATTGAAACTTGTCACATGTTAGGTTACACTTATTTCAGTATGTTTTTTTTGCATTCGTCCACATTTTGAGTTCTTCATTTACTTATAAATCCAAATTTCGTGCAAATGGAACGATATATAGGGACTTTGGTGGACCATTTACATAAAATCGGACGAAAATATATATGGGAGCTATATCTAAATCTGAACCGATTTTCACGAAATTTAAAACACATCGTTCTAGACTTAATTCAGTACGCTGTGCCAAATTTCGTGCAAATCGATGTATATATAGGGACTATGGTGCACTATTTACCTAAAATCGGACGAAAATATATATGGGAGCTATATCTAAATCTGAACCGATTTTCACGAAATTTAACACACATCGATCTAGGCTTAATTCAGAACGCTGTGCCAAATTTCGTGCAAATCGAAGGATATATGGGGACTTTGGTGCACTGTTTACCTAAAATCGGACGAAAATATATATGGGAGCTATATCTATATCTGAACCGATTTTTCCCAATTTCAATAGGGTTCGTCCTTTGGCCAAATAAGTGAACTGTGCCAAATGTCATCAAAATCGTATCACAAAGGCGAACAAAAATACATGGACGGACAGACGGACATGCATAAATCGACTTAAAAAGTGATTCTATGCATATTCTCAAAAGGAACCATGTGTCTATCTCATTTCCTTTTGCCTGTTACAAAGGGTATAAAAAAGGGGTTATATGGGGACTGTCCCTAAAAGGGGGCGAATATTAATAATTTTTGGTAGGGAGATTTAATACCATATACGACTACGAAATACCAAATTACAGCGAATTCGGTTGAAAACCGCGCTCAAGAATACCCAAAATACCGAAAATTGGAGGGTACCCTTATATGGGGGATATTCGAAAAAATGGACCTATATTTATAATTTTTTGTGGAGAGATTTGGTACCTATTAAGAACTCAAAATACTAAATTACAGCCAATTCGGTGGAAAAATACGATCAAAACCCCCAAAATACTGAATATTAGGAGGTACCGTTATATAAGGGCTACCAGAAAAATAGACCTATATTTATAATTTTTTGTGGAGGCATTTAGTACCTAATAAAAGCCCAATGTACCAAATTTCAGCGTATTCGGTTGAAAAACGCGCTGATGAACCCCAAAATACCGAAAATTGGGGGTACTGTTATATGGGAGCTATGCCTAAATCGTCTTAGAATTTTACCCTGATCAATAATGTATATACTTTATACCCTCCATACTATGGTGGAGGGTATAAAAACGTTTATATATTTTACAA